TGAGATGTAACAGAAGATCTTCCTCCTATTGAAAAATTTCTATGCTTGGACATAACAAAGCGTGATTGGAAAGTTTTCAGACAAAATATTCGTTCACTTTTGACTCGCTAGAAAGTCCTTCTGATGATTCAAAAAGGCTACGATTTAAGTGATCAGTAAAATGGATGAAATGATCAGTACATTAGAATATTATAAAATCAGTAAATCGAATGATTGATCAGTAAAATATTTCAATGATCAGTTATTAATTAATAAGATTTGTAAATAAATTTGAGAATCAGTAAATATAATTATTTAACAGTAAATTAAATAAAAAGATGAGTGTAGAAATTCAAATATGCTATGGTATGATTCATTTTTTACCTTTTTTTTTTTTGTTCTTCGACTATGTCGTACAGATAACAAGTACGACATATATGACGATATATGCGTACTCTTTTTTTCTATCCTATCTCTCATCATCAGTTGTGTAAACAAGTAAAAAAGATGGAAGTGATACAGGTTGCACAATATGACAGTGATTTATCGGATGAAGTTGTCGAAGAAAATAATGATTTAAATCGAAATAAAAAAGTCAAGAAGAAGAAAAGATCTAAGTATTGGATTAACAAAGCTACATTTGATAATGCTGAGGAAGCAGAGGCATCAATTGAAAATATCTGGTCAAAACAGTATACAAATTATACAGAACATGGACGAAGAGTTTATTACAGATGCAACAAAGCTAAACTTCGTGGACCTCAATGTAGTGCAAGTATTCATCTGTTATATCATGCAGACAGCGATCAAGTGACTGTTTATAAAACTGAAGGTGAACATGATCATCATGATGAAAAAGTTCGTGGTATTGATGAAAACGTTAAAAAGTGCATTGAAGAATTATATAATGATGGTATCATGAAGCCAAAGCAAATTATTCGAGCACTTCAAACAAGAAAAATGAAAATGCCAACATTAATACAGATTAAAAATTACCTTGTCCAATACAAAAAAAGAAATATGGTTTACATAAAATAAGCTTAGGTGATTTAGAACAATGGTGTGAAGGTAATGTAGAAGTACCAATTGATGAAAATAAAGCTTTTGTTGTATCATACAAAATATTATATGATAATGAAGAATATGAAGATGATGAAGATATAGAAGAAGATGGAAATAAATTCCGTATATTTATATCATCTGTTCGTTTGCTCAACATTGCATCGATGTCATTACATTTACATGCCGATGCTACATATAAATTAATTTGGCAAGGTTTTCCTGTTTTAATTGTTGGTACTACTGATTTTAACAAAGCATTTCATCCATTTGGTTTAGCAGTAAGTTCAAACGAAAAAACTAAAGATTTTGAATTTATCTTCAATAGTATTCAAGTTGGTATGGAAAAAATAAATAAAGATTTACTATATCCAACAGCATTGATATCTGATGCTGCTGATGCAATTAAAAATGGTTTTACAAATATATTCAGTTCTTCCTATAATCAAATAATGTGTTGGGCACACATGAAAAGAAAAATTAACAATCGTGTATGTCAAATAGATGACAAACATATTGCAAAAGAAATTATAGAAGATGTTGAAATGCTCTAATTATCTAATTCTACAGAAGTATTCAAATTAGCATCAACATTATAAAGAAATGGAATATGAACAACAAACAAAAAAATCAATCAATATTAGATTTTATGAATTATTTTCACAATGAATGGCTCAAAACAAATGATGGTTGGTATGAAGGTATACAAGTTTATACACCAAGTACAAACAACGCCCTAGAGGCAACCAACAAAACAATTAAAGATGATGGAACATTTCGAGAACGACATGTTTTATCAAGATTTTTAACAATAGCTACAAACGTTATCAATAACTGGTCAGTTGAACGAGATTCATCCTCAATCAATGCAAAAATATTCGCTACTGAACCAACAATATCTTTAGAATTATGGACTTTATCTTATCAATGGGCTAAATCAACAAAAGATATAATATGTATTTCTAATGATTCTTCAAAAACATATTATATACCAGCTCGTGATTTACAATCAATATCTCAAGCCAATTTAAATAAATACAAAAATAAAACATGGTCAACATTTAATCAATTCACAAAATCATTTGATATTTGATGTATGGAAATGGATAATGGTTCAGATTGGAGAAAATCAAAATGTAACTGTCCAGGATTTTTTAAGAATTACATATGCAAGCACGTTGTTGGTATGGCTATTCGTTTAAAATATTGCAAACCACCACCATCAGCAAAAACAGTTCCCATTGGTGAGAAAAGAAAAAGAGGTAGACCAGCTAAGGCTAAACCCGCTTTGCTAGTACAATACTTTCATTTTCTTTTTCTATCACTCGTTCTTGGATTTCTATTAAATGTTCTTTCGTATTTTTCCCTATTTATTCAAATTTATTTTTCTCTTACTATGTTACTTGATACTGTTAAAACTTATTTTTCTACTGATAAAATCTCTATTTTATACTGATCAAATTTGTATTTTTTACTGAAATAAATTGTATTTTTTACTGTTACTTATATTTAATAAACTGATCATATTATTATTATTTACTGGTAATTTTAGTACTGATCATTAAATCTTTCTACTGATCATTTAACCTTTATACTGATCATTTATATATTTTTTTACTGATCATTTAATCTATTTTACTGATCAAATATTTTGTTCCCATTCAAAAACTATTATATTTTCACTATTGCAATTCGAAACTGAAATTTAGGACCTTTATTTATACATCAGCTGGTAGATGAGAAGCTACCCTACGA